ATGAAATCAGAGAAAATGGTCATCATACACCCTTGAAACGTCGCAAGGGTGTTACACAACCCAAATGGCATTCTGCAATAAGTAAATGTACTATATAGGGGCTTGACTGGCAAATTTGCAGCACCAACTTTGGAAGGCCATAACTCAAGATCTAGGAATCATATGAAGGCATGCGGCCTATGGTTGAAAATCTATTCAAGTCTAGTTTCCAACCCAAATTGAATCACCTTAATCCAATCTGTGGAACTCGAGTTATGGATAAAACAGTGATCAAAGGTCTTTTTTTATCACATCGTTCAATAACGTTTTGCTTCGTTTTCAACTCAAATCCAATTTAGATTGGCACATAGTGACCCCTTGTGGATTCTATGTTCATTTACATGTACACACTAATCAAAATCAATGTCTACGAGCATAGATTCCTCGATCAACAAACTTAATTCATCGGCTTCCATCCAACTATCATCCGAATCAACTCTAAACACTTTCGAAGCGTCCAAATGACTCTGAAATCACTAGAAACATTAAGAAAAATACAAACGGAGCGTAATAGAGTGATATATGATGACTTATGTAAACATGACCTAAAATTGACCAAACAGACTAAGAATAAGGTATAAAACTAGCATAAACGTGCCTAAGAATCTTATAGATATGATTCATCACTCTGCTTCTCGCTACCTTCTGTTTCTTAGGATCATAGAGTCTAAAGCCATACTTTTCATCACCATAGCCAACAAATACACATTGAGTAGTCTTAGAATCAAGCTTTGATCTCTGATCTTTCAGCAAATGCATGTATGCCTTGCATCCAAAGACTCTAAGATGTGAATATGTAGGATCACATCCCTTCCATGCTCTCTCAAGAATGTCAAGACCCAAAGGAATAGAAGGAGAACAGTTGATCAGGTAAACTGCAGTTTGCACTGCTTTTGCCCAAAATGACTTAGGTAGATCTGACATCTTCAACATACACCTCACCTTTTCCACAATGGTTCCGTTCATCCTCTTTGCAACACCATTATGTAGCAGGGTGCTTGGAACTTTCTTCACATGTCGAATACCATGTTGTGAACATTCTTGAATCATGTGAAGTATACTCACCACCATTGTTAGAACGAAGGCACTTCAATTTTCCTTCCGTCGTCTCCTATTCTACCATAGCATGAAACTTCTGAAAAGTTTCAAACACTTAGCTTTTGGTCTTCAACATGTAAACCTAAGTTTTCCTAGTAGAATCATTAATGAAAGTGAAAAAATATGTGTTTCCACCATTAGACTCCACTTCAATAGGACCACAAACATCAGAGTGAACAAGCTCCAATTTGGCTTGCTTTCTAGTAGACTTCCTAGTAAAAAAAATCTTTGTGTTGCTTTCCTGGCAAACAATGATCACATGGGTTAAGAGCAACTGGAATATCAATAGGAATAAGAGATTTACTTGCTAAACATTTCAAACCCTTGTCACTCATGTGTCCTAATCTCCGATGCCACAAATTAGGAGAGTTCTTCTCTTCCACTACATTAAGCTCACCTAAACATACACTCAAATATGTTTTATACAAGGAGCAAGACAACTCGCCTTGAGCAACTGCCATCGAACCCTTAGACAACGTCCACTTACCATCACCAAAAGTATGTTGGAAGCCCTCTAGATCAAGAACATTAGCAGACAACAAGGCGTAGATCAGGAATATGGCGCAAATTCTTCAATGTAAGCATGCACCCATCACTTGTCTTCACACAAATATCACCTAACCCAACAATGTTTGCTGAGCTCTGGCTTCCCATCTTCAAATTACCAAAGTCACCAGCTTCAAGCTAGTGTGTGTCTGAACTTTCAACATAATGAAACTCACTAGTTGCACAAATCAAAGTGACATTATCCTCACTTTTAGAAGTTGTTGCTGCAGTGTTTTTATCATCTCCTCTTTTTGTGAATTATTCTTCTTTCTTTGTTCCTTTTTTAAATGAAAATAATACTTCTTGCAGTAGTTGCATGTAGTCACATTTCTTCCATCACTAGATTTGGACCTACTCCTTGAGTTATCATGGCCTTTGGGACCCCTACTCTTGCCTCTTCCTCTGTTCTCAACAACAAAAGCTTGTAAATTATCAACTCCCATATCCTTTCTCTGATTTCTTCATTGAAAATGCTATTGAAAATGCTCTCTTTGATCACATCCATTGATATCACACCCTTCGGAGTAGAGTTACTAATAGTCACAACCAAAGTTTACTAACTGTCTGGCAAAAAACTCAATAAGAATAAAGCCTGCAATTCTTCATCAAGAACAATCTTCATAGTAGTCAACTTGTTAAAAATATCATGGCAGTCATTAAGATCCTCATAAATTGACTTTCCACCCTCCAATTTCAAATTAACAAGTTTCTTAATCAATGAAACTTTGTTATGTAATACCCCAAATTTTTTTTAATATATTTAATCAACGATTTTTCTAGTATACTTTAAATTATAATTATTTTTCAAATTCATATATTATAGTAAAATTTTTAATAATTATTATTTTTATTTTCGGATTTATTAAAAAAAATAAAATTAAAAAGAAGAGAAATTGATTCCTATAATTGGTTTTATCGGATTGAAATCAACAACAAACTTATTTGAAAATCAATTCTTATCTTGTAGAACTTCTGGATAAATCCACCTTCACAACACTAAATTTATAAATTCTCAATCCCACCCAAACTCTATAAATTCGCGAATCTTACTTTTTCTTTTTCCTCAAACATATTCTTCTTTAATTTGTATTATCTGCTACAATACCAACCATAATTGTTGAGTATAGTGGTAAGCCATGGTTCTTCACCTTCATCTTTCTTGACAATAATTGTCAGCCAACCCACTACGAACTACGTCTTCGTTCATTGACCTTGAGTTATATTTTTTATATGGCTTCTTCCGATTCATAGTTAAAGAGTATGATTTCAAAAATAAAAACAAAATTTAAAGGGGTTTTGTTGTCTTCTTTTTCGTAACTATAAGACAATTCTTAGTCTTATAGTAGGCGAATATCAATGGTGGAAAGATGAATTAATCACCTTATCAAGCTTTTAATGTGGCGGATTTTTTTTTCTTCTTTTTCTTTTAAAGAAACAATTTACTTTTTTTTTTCTTTCTTACGTAATGGTGAAGTATTGGTTCATTACTATAATGGATATTAACAAGTGTCAGTAATGTGGTCTGACGTTTCGGAGATTAATTATCTTGAGACTTTACGCGCAACTCAAAGTAATTTTCAATATCCATCATCTTTAGAATCCCGTTAGAAAATTGTTTTGAAATATTGTGTGTCAACTAGTACTTGTGTAATTATATGTGATGAGTGTGTTACTGTATGATATTATGGAATCAAATTATATACTAGTTTTCTATATTTGTGTACTAGTATAAATATTTTCGAAAATTTGATTAATTGGTATCGTATGAGTTTTTTTTTTATAATTAAAATCTTGGGAATTGGATGATTGATTATATGTGATTGATGGTCTCCAAGGCCTATTGGGAAACGAGTTGTAACTAGTATGTCACGTAGAATGACTATGTTCTAATGATACTGAAATTAAAACATTGTTACTTGGGAATAAATTGATTGGTGCAATACTTATGTGCAATGTGATCGGACAATTTAATCTATTAAATGTACATTAAAATTAAGAAGGGAAATGAAACCCAAAAGGGTGAAGACAGGTTGTCCACTAGTAGTTATGGTTGCTACTAGTTGGTTTAAATTAACGTATTTTGTTGTTTAGTATTCCTCCTAATCAATGGGTATTAAGTGAGGGTTGTGCACACTAGGGACATTCTGTTTAATTTATGGTCATTTGGGGTTACGCGCGACCCTCTATAAAGTAAGTGGTGACAGGGACTAGTATCGGCTTACTGGCGTTCTCTTTCCCTTTCTTAACTAAAGTAATAAATTTTAATGTGACAACTTGATTTTGGTTTAGTGTTATAATGTCGATGAAATTGTGTTGTGTAAGATGTTTTCGAGCTAAAAGTATTTATTTTACGGGATGGAGTTGGAATTACTCAGTTTATTTGATTTTGGGAGTTTTCTCTCTTTCCTTGTTTCTGATTTATTTTGTAGGTTGGTGAGAGGGTACTCGGTTACGTGTGAGGAGACGTTAGAATAATCACGTAGTTAAGACAATTTAGTTTACTTCCGAACTTATTTATTTATTTATTTATTTTTACTTTATTTAAAAGGTTACAGTTTGGATGTAATGACTACTTCAATTTTGCTGCCACTTAGATCACTTAGTTTATTAAATGGTATTTTGTTTTTGCTTTGCATTTGTTTTCTACGGAAAATAAGTGTAGCTGTAACACTCCCAAGGTTCGATGATTGGGTTTTGAAAGGTAAAAGGGTAACTCTTATCGTTTTACATAGACTCCAATTTTGGGGGTGTTACGTGTTATGTGTGGTCTTCCTTTCATAAAGACCTTCAAGTTTAATTTCTTCCACAAATCATATGGGTCGGAGTCCTGTGACACATGGTTGAATATGCTAATATTGATCCATTGTCTAATAGTTCCTAAAGTCTTCCTTTTCAACTTAGCCTAATCTTTATCATCCATCTTAACAGGTTTTGTTGGTTTAACAGTGCTACCATTTGTCTTTGTAGTTGTTTCTATTGGTTTATGTAAATCTTTACAATATAACAAATTTTCTACCATAGGTTTCCAAATTGAATAATTAGTTGATGTCAATTTAACCATCGAACTACTACTACTACTCGACTCCATAATGTGACAAATTAAGTCCCGACTCTGATACCAAGTTGTAGGAATTGGAAGGGGGTCACTACGACACCCACAATTTTACATACGAGACAATTAACCAACAATTCAATCAAATCAACCCAAATTCTCACACAACCAAAATAGCACAATCAAATCAGCAGTAGCTAGAGCAGTAGCAAAACAACAATAACACCAACAATACGAGGAAGAAACGATAACAATCAACACACAAGGATTATACATGGAAAACCCCTTTGATGTGAAGGATAAAAACTATGGGACCGTTTAAGGGGTCCACCCTACCTTCTTTTATTGATAAATTGAGATAAAAAGAATCCCAATTCAATTTACAAAGGATTCACAACCCACCAACTACAACAAACAATAAGAGATTGAAATTTGAGAGTGAAAAGAATAGAATTCACCCAAAAACAAGACTTCTGTTCAGAGACGATTCTGACCAAGCTAGAGTTTAAACCGATGATCAAACCGTCCAAAATAAAGCCCTTGATATCAGGAATAAGCTGTAAAATTTTGAGCACGATCCAACTGTGGAAATTTTGGCAACGACCAATTATGTAAAGGCTTCCCAGAAAAATCCGTAAATGGAATTTCTTGTAAAGAACCCTCACTCTCTCTTTCTCTCCCTCTATTTTGTGCGTGTGAATGTTCTAAAATTGCTGAGTATTTTTCAGCAAGAATAGCCTTATAAAACTTCCCTTGAAAGCCACAAAACTCATGCTAAATATGGACCCAAAAATAAAGGTAGATTGTGTGTTTGTTTTGTGAGGCTTCTCTAGTTCTCTTCCCCATAAATTTCAGTATTTCACCATCGAAGATGATTGTCATGACTCATGAGCTTCTTCATTCATTTATCTCTTGTTGAAACTTCTGTAAAATGGTTCTAACGGAAGAAACCAATTTTGCTACATAATAGACATAAGCTTTACATATATACCCCCAATTTGCCACACCAAAACACTCCTTGATAAACACACTACTTGTCTGGCCAAAAGAATCAAAATTTTTTTGTAAAAAGTACCGCAATAGTCAAACACATAAAAACTCCAAAGTCTCCATAGACTCTATTGATTTAAATGGTCCAATTCTCCCTCTCATCATTCTGGGTTTCCGCCATGGATAAATCCAACAAAACTCTGTTCAAATTCCAACCCATTTCACCATTAACACTCTTCTTCTTCATTTTCTCTCTCCCCTCTTCTTTCTCTCTCCTCCACCTTCACCCTCCACCATTACCTCTCCTCCCCATCCCCACCTCCCAGCAACTCTCATGGCAGCTCTCAGAAATGGCAATCTTCCTCCACTTTGGCACCAACACTTTCACCGACTCCGAATGGGGTGACGGTAAATCCGACCCATCTATCTTCTTCCCCTCCAATTTCGACGCTAAACAGTGGGTCTCCGTCGCTAAATCCGCCGGATTTTCCCGGGTCATTTTGACTGCGAAACACCATGATGGGTTCTGCCTTTGGCCGTCTGATTACACTGATTATTCTGTGAAATCGAGTGATTGGCGACGTGGGAATGGCGATATAGTGGATGATTTGGCTGTTGCAGCGAAAGAGAGTGGGATTCAATTGGGGTTGTATCTCTCTCCTTGGGATCGCCATGAAAGTTGTTATGGGAATACTTTGGAGTATAATGAGTTTTATTTGGCACAAATGACTGAATTGCTAACTAGGTAATAACTACTTAATTTCTTGGTGTTTTAGCAATTTATTGGAATTATATATTACAGTAATGATTAACTTAGATATACAGCTAATCAGAACCTATATTATAGAAACAAATTATAGAGGATGCATGTTATTTTTTTCTTCAGTTTTGTTGTTGTTGTTGTTGCTGCTGCAGCTGTTGTTGTTGTCTGTTGTTATTTTTTTCTTCAGTTTTGTTGTTGTTGTTGTTGTTGCTGCTGCTGTTGTTGTCGTTGTTTTCTTCAGTTTTGTTGTTATTGTTGTTGTTGTTGTTTTCTTCAGTTTTATTGTTGTCGTGGTCGTGGTCGTGGTCGTGGTCGTGGTCGTGGTCGTGGTCGTGGTCGTGGTCATGGTCGTGGTCGTGGTCGTGGTCATGGTCGTGGTCATGGTCGTGATCGTGATCGTGGTCATGGTCGTGGTTGTTGTTGTGGTGGTTGCTGTGGTTGTGGTGGTTGTTGTTGTTGTTGTTGTGGCTGTTGTTGTTGTTGTGGCTGTTGTTGTGATTGTTGTTGTTGTTGTTATTGTGGTGGTGGTGTTGGTGGTGGTAGTGGTAGTGGCTTGCCATTGTTCTTGGTGCCAGGTGGTGGTGCTGGTGTTGCCGTGTTGGTGCCATTGTTCTTGGTGCAGAAGTATATACTAGGCTTATTTTGTATCTTCTTTGTCATGGCTTAAATAGTGCAATCAAACTGCACCTTGCTTTATCATGTTTGGTTAAAACTTAAAGCAATATTTGCAACTGGCTAAAATAATGAATTGTATCTTCTCTTCAAAGATAATCTAATAGAATTATGCAATTTTCGAGTTGTAGCAATCTGTAATGAATTTTCAATCTCCCTTGATATCGAAGCTAACGAACATATAGTGTAATGGGTAAGGTAATATTAATCTTTCGTGTTGTTGTGGTAATATGTTGCCTATTGAGTTTAATCCTTTGCTTTACTTGTGTGTTGTTCTAACAATTGTCCATCTATCAATCTGCATTGTGCTTAGAAGTTTTATTAAGCTCAATTGTTCGATCAACACTACATTCATAAGTCATAAAAGAAACTTCATAGTGATTTGTACAGTGGCTTGAGACTTTTAATCCTTGGCTCTATTGGAAATGTACATTGTTTCATACATCTTTCCCATTGTACCCAGCTTGCATGAATTAGGATGTAACACTACCTTTGAAATTAAAACCTCTGGTGTGACGGCTGATTATCTAGCACTAAACACTCTAAAACTTTTTAGATAAAAGCATGTTTTTACCCCTTTCTGGATCTAAGTAATTTCTGGTGTTGTTAAATGAAGCAACTTCTTGATGAAACAGATATGGGGAGATCAAGGAGGTATGGTTGGATGGTGCCAAGGGAGAGGGGGGGAAGGATATGGAATATTTCTTTGACATCTGGTTTGATCTAGTTCATCAACTGCAACCTAAAGCCGTAATCTTTTCTGATGCGGGACCTGATGTTCGGTGGGTTGGAGATGAAGCTGGTGTTGCTGGATCAACTTGCTGGTCTTCTTTTAATAGGAGCGCTGCGAAAATTGGTGGCACTGATCCCCAGTAAGTTAACTAAACCCTGTTCTTATTACCTTAAAAATGAGTAAAGCTAAGTTTAATTTAGTTTCTGACTACTTTGATTCAGGTTTACGCACTCTGTCTACACCTACTGCGCACATTTTCATATTCCTAGGAGAATTACTTTGTATTTCACTGTCTGAAAATGAGAGAAAGCAACAATGGAATTCACCTTGTACATATACATTACAGATATACATAAACATGCGTCTTTTGGTAAACGCTTGTGTGTGTCTTATTGAAGAGGGAGGGGTTAATTCCAGCTGTTGACCTGGTTTTTGGTTATCTAAAAGTCTGAAGAGTGAAAACCATTCATATCACATAAGATTCAAACTTCACCTACATCTTATATTGATTTATTTGCTTCTCTGCTACAGAAATATAATTGCTTAGATGAAACCAATCATTGATTAAATGCAATCTTTTTGTGACTTTGTAGGATATAATTTTAAAGTGCAATAGTGTAAAAAGCTTAATTGCATTCTTCCGTGGAAATGCGTTGCATTTTTGAGATTATTCATTACAGCTCAAGCTAACCTGCCCATTATAATTATTGAATCTAAAAGGTATTCACGGGAAGGAGACCCAGGGGGGCATGATTGGGTACCTGCTGAATGTGATGTCTCCATCAGACCTGGTTGGTTTTGGCATGCATCTGAATCACCAAAATCTGCACTGTCTCTACTTGACATCTACTACAAATCAGTAGGCAGAAATTGTCTTTTACTGCTAAATGTTCCCCCAAACTCCTCTGGGCTTATATCTGATGAAGATATACAAGTACTCCAAGAATTTGCTGAGCTTCGGAGCTCTATTTTTTTCCAATAACTTGGCTAGGCATGCCATTGTGTTTGCCAGTAGTACACGAGGAGATGCTGATTCTCGCTTTGGTGCCTTCCATGTTCTTGAAGAGAATATTTATACATATTGGGCTCCAGAAAAGAATCAAGCTCATTGGATATTGTATATAGACTTGAAGGATATAATCGCTTTCAATGTTTTGCAACTTCAAGAACCAATTCAACTAGGGCAAAGGATCACATATTTTCATGTTGATATTATGAAAGATAAGGGGCAATGGAAGAGAATTTTGGATGGGACTACAATTGGACACAAAAGACTTTTACAATTTCCGAGAGTGGAATCTCAGTACTTGAGGTTGGTGATTGAGAAAGCTCGTGGAGACCCTCTTATTTCCTTTGTTGGGGTTCATATAGATCCTTATATAACCCTAACAAACTTATCTGATACTAGTCATACAACCAAAAAGCTGCCATCAAATGGAAACAATTTCTTGAGTAAGTTTAAAGATACTCTCTATTCTGTACCATACAGAAAGATGTCTCTCAGATCTCAAATTTAGGTAAGCCTTACTATGGGAGCATATAATACTGTGGGAATCTGGTGGGATGCATTCCACCTCTTTTTCCTCTGCTTTATTACAGTCCTTGATATAGTTTACCATCAATCTCGGAGTATAAAGCTCAATGATAAAAAGATCGAGAGTTTAAATCAAGCTTTGCCTCATTTATTCTTCTGAGTGGCAAAAGAAAGCGTAATCCCGATGTGTTTATCCTAAACATCCATAGTACATATGTTTTGTACCATTTGTATATCAATTATTCAATACTCTGTATTGCCTGTGGAAAGCGGAATACTCTCACTCAAGCGATTATTGTTGTATGTTTGAAATGATTACAGAAATGAACAGTTTGCTCGATGTACACTGTTGAAATTTGTGATTCAGAGATTTATTTTTTTTAATGCAAATGCTGTATTATGTAACTAGTTCTGATTTCCTCAAAAAAAAAAATGTAACTAGTTCTGAAATTCTTATTACAATTCTATGTTCTGCTGTTTTTCTGCAATTCCATTTCATTCAGTTCAAAGGTTGAGAATACTCGTATTGTGAGGACAGAGGTCCTCTTTTCTAAATTACGTTCAGAAACGATACATCTCCGGTTCTCTGCTTATATCTTTAGTTAATATTCTGTGTCTTCATTGAGTAACTTCACTTTTTCAGATTTGCTGATTTCTTCACACTGATAGAGTTGCTCTTTGAAACTATCTTGGGTCAACCAACAAGTATGATTTTGGTAGGGATATTGATTCTAGCCATAAGTTCAGTTTTTACAAATTAAGCACAGCTCGATTCGGATGCAAGTCAGTGTGGTTAATTGCTATCTTGCACCCCTCATTTTATATAAACATAGCGTAGAAAAAGGGAACCAGGGACATGAAAAATGAGGTTGGAACCAAATTCCGGGCTTTGTTGTTGATACATCTGAGTACTTTGTGGTACTTAAATTCTTAATCGATGGGAATCTCTTTTCTCAATTATCATCTCTCAGTGACACGGGCCGCTCTTGTATATTTTTCTATATCCAATGAGCTCGTCAAATAGTGTGCATCTTCTACATGTTGCAATAATAAAGGAATAAAGGAAGTATTATTTTCTATGGATGAGGCATACGTAGAATATGCTTTGTGTTGTATGATACATAAATTTGTTGTCATGGGAATCCTTTAAGAATGATGTTCATGAGGTGGCGCGCAGCCTTGCGAAGTATGGTTCTCACATGACCGACCCTCTGAAATTCCATTACTTCCCTGGTGATCACGCTGTGGATGCTTAGACAAAGGACAAGAGAGAGTGAATTGGTTTGCGTTCTTGAGGTCTACAAGCAAGCTTCTGGGCACACGCTTTGCTTCTTCCTAACCTGGTGTATTTATGATGCTTTATGTCTACAGCCTAATTCTATGTCTTTTATCTGCTCTAGCTTTTCATATACGAAGTATTTATAAATGGTGTTTACGTACTATCATAACTTGTGATCAACGAAATTACGATAATTAAATACATTAACATTCAACTCTTACAGCATATTTAGGGCGACAGGTGTTTACTATCATCACTTGTGATCAACGAAATTACGATAATTAAATACATTAACATAACATTCAACTCTTACAACATATTTAGGGTGTCGTCCGCAGTACTAGTTATAATCATAGTTGGAAATTGTATGATATGGAGTAAACAAAACCTTTTGATTCTCCAAATTGAGTTTGGTAAAAGGTCTAGCTCAAGCAAAGAAGTAAAACACCATGATGGCTAATTAAGCAATAAGAGACTTTATTCATTGCTGAGCTTAATTTGGTTATATCTTAAATGAAGGGTATTACATTAATAATCTCTTAACCTTGAAAAGGAAGGGAAAAAAAAAAAAAAAAGGAAAAAAAGGTTACCTCTATTCCTCTATTGCTAATACTACAGTACTAAATTTTCTGACAGACATGATATTTCCATAGCAAAGAGCCAAAGACTAATAAATAACTGCATTGTGTTCGGGTCGAGGAGATCAAAGAGAGAGGAATACCATGGCAATACCTTAATTGGTGATGATGGATTGATGAAAGCACATACCAACAGTAAAAGACAGCAAGCCATGGAACTTTTTAGTTGATTTTAACATCACGAAGAAGCCGGGCAGCCATGGCACCACATCTTCGCACTTCCCAGTCAGTAAAATCTCGGCTTGACTCTCCTGTAGAATCTGAGCAGCCTTTATCGTTTTTCTCACTCTCAACTTCATCCATCCCGCTAGTCTTTCCTTCCCTCTGGTTACTTTCTCTATCTAAAGATTTGGATGCTTGATTTTTCTCTTGATCTACTGCCAACGTAATTCCAGCAGAATTTTTAGGTTCCATTAAATAAAGCTGAATACTTGGATGCTGATACTTTCTGTCCATCTGCAAAACAAAAGAGTTTCCGAGTTGGGTATCTATGTAAAGACTATTCAATGAAAGCATACTTTAAAGAAAAGGCTGTTAGAAAAAACAATTACAGTTTTATTAATCTTGTGCTTAACCTGATGATCTTGAAATTTAATACGGAGTATATATACATCTTCGAAGATAGTAAATATCATTTCGTTTAAAAGTTCATATATGTTTACTGAAAGCCAAATTTTCAAACTTTTTATTAGATGGGATAAAATCAAATGTTTTAATTATCCTTTCTAAATGTAGTGAGGTAGTAGGCTTCTTGCTAGCCAGCCCAATCAAGGGAATAACGATAACAATTGGTTCGACAACTGCAACTAGCAAGGACAAGGTTACAAAAACCTATGTTAAAATGTGAGGGTAACGTTATCTATGTACATTAACCCCCATCCTTAGTCCTTGCCATGCCTTAGGCTAGGCAAGGGCCTCATGAAGCAAGATATTAGGTCAACAGTGATTGGTTTTGGATAAATAAAGTGATGTACCTTGGTTCTTGGAACAGTTTTGACATCAAAGTTGCTCTTCCACAATTGAAGCATTTGTTCGTGAACGCTTGTAGAACGTATCTCATAACCCAACTGTCCAGTTAAATTTTAAATTGCTAACTGATAGTTGAACTGAACAATTGCTATAGTAATACTAAATATACAGTTTTTTTTATCATCTTTACCACAATGGTAGTGCGTGGTCCTGACAAAGCATGTATCGTTTGCAGCAGTGGATCAAGAAGATGTTCAGCATAAACCTGATATCCACACACATCAGAACCATTGCATGCAAAAATTAATCTATACCACATTGTTATTTGTTGCTAGTCCTATACCATAGTCCTCTAGCATATTATTTTGCAGATATGCAAACAGACAAGCTATAGTAATAAAAATAAAAAAGAAGGCCCAACAGTCACCTTTTATACATCAAGATAGGAGAACAAAAGGCCAACTAGATTTATACCATGTAAAGAAGAATATAATTAACATGCACATGCCTTGTTTCATGAATCACAACGTAATGTGGCTGTGTAATCTGTATAGACTGTATTATCAGTTCACATAAGCCTTCCAAAACTGACAGAAAATTTGGATTTACACTCCTAAAAACCTTCTTTTTTTTTTTCTTTTTTTTTTTTGGACTTTTGCACTCCAACAAGTTTTAATTTTACCATGTTCCACCACAGTTACTTTTGGTCATAAGCTTATATACCTTGATGCCTCGAAAGGGATAATAAATATGAAAAGATACATACCACATCAGTGCCGATCACATAATCATATGGAGGATTTACAGCTTGTATATGATCCTTATTACCCCAATCCAATTCCGCAACCTTGATGGAGCCAAATGAATCTACAGTACAACTCTTGCACAAGTTAGATACAAAATTATACAGAACATTGATGCCAACAAAGAGTGTAGGGTAGAGGAAATATAAAGAAAAAATAGGTTTTTAAAAAAATCCAAAAACATATCACAGCAAAAGTGAAAATTTAGAGCATATTTCATATTGCTCTCTACCTGCATTGGCATTTGCCTGCATGATCCATGAAGTATTACGTTCAACATTTCGCTGTAGCAGAGGCAGAACTTCTTTCTGATCAGTTGTGACCACTTCACATCCTAACATAGCCATCCCTGGTTACCCAAAAAGGAATTTAAAGGGATGAAAAAGAATAGATACATTATCAAATTTCTAGATAATGAAGACGTTGGGATGGACCCATTATTCTCTGAACATGTGATAATACATTGGTTTCCAACATATGCTGAAGACAGACATCTAAGGAGCAGGTATAACATACCAAAGCCAGCTACTCCACAACCTGCTCCAAGTTCAATGACTCGCTTCCCTTTGAGTTTAGATGGACAAAATCTCCCTTTTCTGCTATTCCTTTCCTGAAAAAGTGAGTGAATTATCAATAGGAAACATCTCAAAAAATTTACTAGTATACTAGATTACTAGATGCCTAAGATATAAGAAATTTAATAGTCCACTGGCATTCTTTTCCATAAAATGTAAAAAGGCGAAGAATAGAGTTTATACACAATACTCAAAAGTTCTTATTAGGTGTGATAGTCAAACATATAGAAGAACAAGCCAAGTATAATCATCCTAATCTGCCGTTCTTTTCCTTTAAAAAATTGATACAAACAGAATGCAGAGGGAGCCCCATTTAATCTCTGTCCAAGTTAATCTCCTCTCACAACTTTATGCATTTATTTCTGTGCCACTTTATTATTTCACTTTTATTATTTTGAAAGTAGAAATAAAACAATATATTGTGAGAGGAGATATATTTCCATGTTTACCTCAGAGATAAACTTGAATTTTCCCCAAAATGCATCTCACAAACTGTCAATAGATGTGATTTGTGAAAGCCTAGCATGAACACAAGTCATAAGTTGCTATACCATGTTAATTTCTAGACAGATTTAAGAACGGACAAAATTCAGCAAATCAGCATACTACTGCACAGTTGACATCCGTAGGTCCGTGGCAAGACACAGTCAACTCAAACGCCCCCCCCCCCCCAAAAAAAAAAAAAAAATAAATAAATAAAATAAAAAAAAAATATATATATATATATAAAAAAAAAGGAGCAAAATTCAAAGAAAAATATTACAATTATAATTGAAACCAAAATACAACAATTGCATTTACTGCATACTAAACTCATGTACTCACCTAACCTCACATATTAGCTCATCAAACAAAGAAGATAATAAAATGTTCAATCTTACTATGTGGTTATGTTATGCAATCTAACTTTATAACTCAAGATAATAAAATGTCTCAACAACAATGACAACAAACACAATATTTCCAGAGATTGCATGAAACTTGTAAGATAAAAGCCTAGGAAAAGAATATACCAGATACTTGGCAAATACCATTGATGCATCCCATACTGTAGTTCCCAAATGCTTGGAATTTGGATCCTGTCACAGCAAAGGAGAAAAAAAAGGTTTTACCAAGAGTTATCAAGGACAGGGGAAAACAGGAAAGTGGAAATATAATTCTTGGGTAAGGGTGGAAAAATTTATACAGAATGATTAAAGGCTAAAATCTGTAAAAGTTTATAAACTTAAGTACAAAATCAATTAAATTTTCGGAAAAATAAATTTCAACTCATCCAAGCAGCCAAAAAAAAGCTCCCTTAAGCTCTGCATAGCGGAAATTTGTAATGCTCTAATTCTCTCTCCCAATAAATACTTCTCTAAAATTCACAATAAAAAAACTAAGGAAATTCTGTGTTAGAAATTTACAGCTATATGGATAGGTTAATTTCTTAAAGCCACTGGCAGTGTTTTTAATCAAAGCTCAAGCTCAAACCCCAAAAAGAAAGCTTCATCGGCAAACCAATGCAAATTCTTCCACAAGCATTACCCGAATACATTTATTCAAATGAGATTTGAGGAAAGCATTAGAAACAACTGCAGTGTGAACCACAACTGCAACAACTACATATGCTCTACACAGGCTGCATGAGGGTGTTCTACAGCTCTACTTCTCCTCTTTATAGTAAGTATCTCACTTTTGGTTCTCGTAAATTTTGATTTGAGTTTCCTAACACTCTTAAATATCTATTATCTCCGCACATTTAATGCACTAATCAACAATAAAAATAATCCTATCAAATTGATTTACATTTCGTAATTTGTTGAGTAAAATGGAACAACCAAGTACTCTGAAATAAGTTTTGTAGAATGATACCCACATCATAAAACCCATCACTTTCCGAAAAGTAGTAATGTCAATCACAATATTTTTGTTGAGCCAACAAAAGTGAAGCCATAGAGCCCCAAAAAAGCAGGATTAATATTTGGAGCGTTAATTCGTAGGCGGGTAGAGGGAGCGTGCCTATAAAGCCAGACAGGTAAAGGCAGTGTACCTGAGAAAATTGCAATTGATTTCCCAGTAAGTCTATTTTAACAACTGATGTGTCTGGCAGATTTAACCTGCAATGGTACATCAAGACAATGTAAGAAGCTATTCTAAGTTAGAAACCTGTCATGGTAGCTCTACTCAATTAGTTAACTACAATTTTTGACATTTCAAGTTCTAGTATGAATGGCAACAGATCAGATTTGAAACAGGTACAGCCACATCTATCGGCATCTATGTGAAAATCACCAGTACCCACTCCCATATAGTTTTTAATAAATTCATCCATATATGTAGCCAATGAGAGAACTGAATGAATAGATTATCTAATGGATGTTCAGATACTTCATTACTTCTTCCAATGCTTTTGGCAATGATTTACAACGTGATTAGATCATACAGCCATTAAGCCAAACAAAGTACTCCATATATCATAAAAAAATATCTATCAGGTCTCTGCCGAAACACAGATCAACTACAATATATGCATTTCATAACAGAAGACAACGCAGTTGTTCCCAAGTCCTGACACAGATATCCTATAGTGTTGGTTAAAAAAATTCAGTAGCAGTCTGATATTTATCTGCAATACATGTTATCTGGATATGCGTGTCCTTTGGGCTAATAATATAAGTGACGCAATGTCACCTGTATGTAATTTGAAAATCCATATAATTTATTGGAAACCTACTTTTTCAACACATCTAATTTGCATGGAGACAAATCTTGTATCTACGGGTGGGCCTGCCAACCCTACTGCAAGCCTAAGCATGCTTTACATAACGATTGGTAAGAAATACGAAGTATAAAATACACTTCCCTAAAATACACTCGGTTGTCTACTACTTTTCAATTGAATCAATTCAATTAATAAGCTATGTTTCAGAAATGAAATTTCGGAAAAAGAGTGAATGGCATTAGATGATTAGACTGAAATATATGGAATGGCAAGTAAATTCTGAAGCTGCAAGGAATAAAGAGTGAGATTGTCATGGCGCAAAAGCAGATATGGTACATATGACATGTTCAAGTTGACACCTAAGGTACTGAATAACATAAAATCAAATCCCAGAAGAAAATGCATAGGTCCTTGAAGATTGTCTAGAGAAGCTTCATGTTGGTGACTACTCTAAGAACTTACACATTTGAGCTAATATATTATCTCTATTATATAAGCCAAGGGGGAGGGGAGTGAAAAGTTGGTGCCCAACTTTTGAACTCCCCGAATTGCCCCTACAAGCCTTTTACAAAATAAATAAATAAGTAAATAAATCAGTCAAATCACACCAGTTTCTAAAAAGACACTCAAAAGGAAAATGCAATTTATTAAAAATAAAAATAGCATAATTGCATTCTTCCCAAAATAAACACAATCATACGAGAATAAAATAAAATCAAAACAAATCATACTAATTTATCTTTAACAATTTTTCTTATTGTATACGTGTGATAAAATTGTATTTGATAATTAAATAAGTAAAATTTGAAATTATCGCACGCATCGCGTCATAAACAAGCTTTGATGTATTACATCTAATTGCATATATGCCATACACAAATAAAAATATCATATCCACATCCTTTCTCTTGATTGAGCATGATGATCTTCTATCCAAAAATCTTAGTCCCAAACAGTTCTAGTATAAAAAGAAACAAGACAATCTCTTATGGATCTAGGAAACAACTCCTACATTTATTTTCATTTTGCACAATACTCCGAAGAAAAGCAAACAACAGCCCAATAGAATTCATAGTATATGAGTACATCCAGTTTTTGTAACATGGCACGGATGAAGGCATAGTCAAGCATTTCTCCTGAAATATGCTATGGCCCACCTTTATAGGTATATCAGAAAGCATGACATATATATCTAGCATTTACTTACAATTAAATACCTCCTTCACGCAGACTGCAGAGCGAAGTCACTGCAAATAAAATTCAGACATACACTAATTATAACAATAACTTAATTACCTGTCAGACTCCATACTTGCATCAATTCCAAAATCCAATAGCTCGCAGATAATTTTTTGCTGTGAGGCCTGTGACAATAGACCATAATAAGTACTCCGTAAGTAGTAAATAAGGAACCATAAAACTTTGATAGAATGAAGACTGCTTGCACTCATGGAATGTGCTATGCTTCATAACTTCATAACCAATAAAGTAGCGCTTAAAAGGTCCAAAAAGCCATTTGTACCCACATAATATATACATTTGAGATTTGACTACACAACCAAAGCGTCTATACTCTATATAGTTCATCAGAAATTATTTATTATTACTACCCTTGTCTCAAAATATATATGCCAAAGTCATACATATTTTGAGACAAGGGTAGTAATAATATAAATCGAGCTAATTTGACAAATAGTTTGCTGAAAATATAAATCGAGCTACAAGATTCAATGTCATACAATTCTGGAAATATTTTCTATCAGTGTTTCTGCCAGGATTATTAAAATAAATAATACTATAGTAAGCATTGTCTGCCTTACTGAAATACGATCGTTTCACACAAAAATTACTTGTATTATAACCTACAATTAACACCCTGTAAGTTCAGCTGTAACAAAAATGTTTGGAAAACCTGGTAATTTAGAAACATACCCATAAAAGTTAGAATTACAAAATTTACATCTTTAAAAGATAATCCGAAATTTATCAGCAAACACCACAAGAAGTAAACGCAACTAGTTCTGCTATTTACCACACATGAAGCTTAAAAAGAAGAATCCCAGATTTTAACAGTTACCAAATCATCAAAAAAAAAAAAAGTCATGACGTTGCAGCAATTAATTTCAGTCCTACAATCAACTCAATCGAATAAACCAAAATCAAATTTAATATAAAGCAAACTTTTTATCAATTGAATGCACTTTGAGAGCCAAAATTAAAATTGAATTGACAATATAGAAGATGAAGTTAGAGAAATACCCAGAAATAAAAAATTGGAAGTTAGAGAGGAGAGAGAGAGTTTGTTGTAGTTAAAGGGCAATTGGTTGATTGATTGAGTGATGGTACTGAAGTTGGGTGTCGCAGAAAGAGGATGAACTCACTTGGTGGCTGAAAAGGGTACCACTCCGCCGGACTGTCTACCGGCAATTAGAGATGGTTATTCAACAAGGTTGTCCAATGGTAATTGAGTCACTTTTTGACTTTTTAGTTCTTGCATTTGAGATTTCACAAAGGTGAGGGGTTTAGGAGAAACTAGTATGTCTATGTTAATGCACGGCAATATAGATATATTATAAACCAACATAAATTTTTATATGGGGCTGGCCACACCATATGGCAGTGATTATTTGAGTAACTCGATTAGGAGTTATTCGAGTCACTCAATCAGGGAATACTCGAGTTACTTAGTCAGTGTTACTTAAAGGGTTCGGTCAGGGGTTACTTAAGGGGTTCGGTAAAGAGTTACTTGAGGGATTCGATCAGGGTTTAATTGAGGGGTTACTTGAGTGGTTCGGTCAGGAATTACTCGAGAGGTTACTCGGTCAGGGGTTACTCGAGTAATCCCTGATCGATTAACTTGAGTAACCTCGGCCACACGGTGTGGCCAGCCACACAGAAAAATCCTCATACATCGAAGGAAACAACACAAAATGAAATGTTGAGTAGTTACTGGAGTCCCTTAAAAAAAATAGAATAGGCAGTTATTGGTGTTTTTTTTATTAAAAAAATAAATAAATAAGTGAAATGCATAGAGTTTGAGTATTGGGGATTCAGAAGATTATGGTGAAGTGTTGAAAAATTAACTCTATAATTATACGTAGTATAATAGATATCAAGTTGATAAGGCTGATTGGATTTGTTGGTATACCAGGAGATACAATAGTCATTTAGCCTATTTAATTAAGAGTGACATTAAAGTTTCTTTTTCTTCCTCCATTGATATTCAGAAGCTTCGTTTTCATTGAAGCTTATACAGAATTTCAACAATGTATCACTCCCCTAGCGTTCAGTCGATCATTTACAACCACTATGAAGCGACGTTTATGAGATGCTTTTCTAAGAGGGTTAATATGGCCATACTTTACATTATTTGCTACTAGGGTGTCTTTTTATTTTGTCACCTCGAAGCTCGTGTAAGTTTGTATTAAAAGGTGTATATTACACAATAGTTTGAGTCATTTGCACACTAACTCGTGTAAAATTTATTCCTTTTTCTAACACACAAGTTGATGTAAGTTTGTTATTGAGATGACAGTTTTACGCATTAGTTTGTGTGGGATAAATGAGGTAGAAAGTAAGTATTACAAAAGTATAGCAACTACAAATATCAAGAAAATTTACAAACATTTATTCGTCCTTAAATGAGCTTTTTCTGATTTTTGTACCAATATTCGAGGATGAAACTTTTTGTAAGTGGGTAACTGTTATACCCTGTAATTTTATTTATTTTATAAAATATTTAATTATTTTTTTTTTTTGAAAGAAAGCAGGGAGCAGTTATGTATTAATATCCAAACTCGCAAGCGTTAAAAAGCTTTCCGGGAAAGGTGCAAAACGTACATGCTCCATAGTGTCCGAAGGGCAAGACCTAGCAATTAGGTGGGCAAAGGCATTACCACTTCTTGACACATGACTACAGAAGAAGAAAGAAAAGGAAGAAACAATACATAAAATGTGTTCCACAAAAGCAAAGAAATAACTATGGCCTTTCCTCTTAGAAACAATAGATTGGACAGAAGTCACTTTCCAACCAAATTGCGTTATGACCCAGCCTATTCACCACCTCCACACCATAGAACAACGCTGCAGTCTCCGCTACTCCAGGGTCCCAGTGGCCTGTTAAATATATTTTTGGGACAAATTATTTTTAATTATGGAATTTAAATAAAACAAGTTTTAAATTTTGGGTCAATATATACCCCTTCATAACCATAATAAGCCTAATTATCCTATTATTATATTTAGGCCAAATAAATCTTCCCTAATATCATTATTTAATGAAGCCCAAATACTCTTTACTTATCCTATTTTTATATTTGGGCCAATTACAGTTATTAAAGGTATGGAGAGTTTATCTGATTCAATTTCCTAACTCCAACTTTTAAAAGCTCAGTACCTCATCTGCAAGTTTCATCAAAGTTCAGCACCTTATTGTGTCCTCTTTATTATCTCTAAATGAAAATGAATTACTCTGGATGATCGTTGAATTTATGATCTGATGGTTGTCATTACTTCGAACATAAATGCCAATCTATATCTATATCTATCTATAACTAATACTAAAGTAGAAACTGTTGGCATCATTCCCTACTTAAATTCTACACATGGCATGCTCTAATTAAAAAATTTCCACCTAAATGTATCAATAACATCATTTTATTAAATTTTTTTTTCTTTAGTGCTAAATCATTCCATCTATTATGCCTAGAAAATAGTACGAAGTATTAGATATTTACCAATCTCAAATTAAGGACTATTCCCATCCCCCCTAATTATTGAAACCCTTATTGCTTTTCCTCTTCCTCAATTGTGTTGTTTTGTCGTTTTTTTTCTTATTTTTTTTTTATGCCTCCATCATCATTTCAATATTTAAATGTTCGGTTATTTTTTAACGTGTGAAGTTATTGATTCTTTTGTTTTATAATTTTATTAATATTCAATGTAATACAATTGTTTTATTTTAAAAAGTTTTTCAATTAATTGTAAGAAATTATGATGCTTTTAAATTTGTAATTGTTAATCAATTTATGTTCTTTTTATTAAAACGTACATCGTACGGGAGCTAAACTAGTATATATTATTATTAAAACTCATGGCAATACATGCCATGCTTCCATGTGTCAATGACAAAGTGACAATACGTGTTATGCTTCCATGTGTCACCTTTTCTTAACCAATGATATGGCGCCAAGTCATATGTATAGTCTATAAAATTTAAATTAATGCTTTTAATAAACAAGAACTTTAAAATAAGACTTAACGTTTTACCTTTAAAAATATATAAACATGCCTCAACATAATTCATGAACTTTTCAATTTCATTTAAAATGGTCATCATAACCATTAATTAAAAAATCATTTTAGTTTTGGTAATACTCCGTAACTAATACTTGTAGGTTTAATTGTCTAGCGGTCTCCTCTCTATTTTTTTCTCTCTAGGGTTCTTCAAAAAGTGTTTCATAGGCCGAAAATAGTCAAATTTCTTCGGAAATTTGGCTATTTCCGACCCTTTACCTTTAGTTTCATTAAGTTTTTGTTATTAAATTCAATAAATCTACACTCTTTAAAAGGTAGTAAGTACCCCTATAGTGGGTTTGAGTGTAGTAAGTGGCCCTATGGTGGGCTTTGTTCTAGTTTTATTTTTGTATTTTGAGTTTAGTATGGTACAAGTTGTTTCATGAGTAAAGATTTGTGCGGGATTGAGAAAGAGGATTATCCTTTGATTACAATCAGATGAATCAGACGAAAATATTCTTCACGACTACAACAAATCGATAGACCCCCTCGTCGAAGAAGGCTGTAAATCGCAGCGATATAAAAGAGGGTATGAAAAATATACAATTTGCAACAACGATCGTAGCTTTGCTGAAAGGATGCTTTTATTTGATTCAATTGTTATGTATTTATCAAATTTAAATCTCTTTGTAGATGTCATATGGCTTTTTATTTATGAATCAATCTTTATTCAAAAAAAAAAAAAAACTCCGTAACTAATACTTGGATGAAACTGATTATTAATATTAATATGTGCCAAAATTCACAATCACTAAACATAAACAAGTACATCATAATGATTCCTTTATATTATTGAAAAAAAAAATATTCATCTCCACAATCCAGAGCCCAAAAAATAGATGTAAATATCAAGGGTTAATCCAATAAAATTAAACTCACATCTTGTAAAGTTGTGGGATAATCCAAATCACTAATTAGAGACTAGTGTGACTCTTTGCAAATTATTTTTGATGTATCATAATTATTTGCACTGAGATTGAACTTTTTGTCATTTTATCTTTATTCTCATATTGCATTACATTAGATGGCCCGGGCCAACCACTACTTATGTCATTAAACCCCTACTTCGTACTTTCTTTTCCCACCATTGACTATTACGCTGCACCATTAAACCCCTTATCTCTATTTCTCTAACTCTCCTCCATTGAAGTAGTTTATGAGCTTTAATTAGTTCTAGAATAAACCCAAACATGACCCGAAAATGACATAACCCAAACTTGACTAGACCCAAACATGACTCAACATAGGGACTCAAAAATAAACCCGATCTTAACTAAACCAACTCGAAGTTGACCAAACTTGAACTTGACCCAACCTAAAGTCGGCTCAAAATATTGACCCAATACCACTCGACCAGATTATGTGTTGACTCAAAATCCGAGATGATCCTACTTGACGTGACCCAATTATTTGTTGATCCGACCCTAAAAGACCTGACCCGATTGCGAGGTCTAGTACAACTATTACTACGGAGTAAGGAGTAAGAAAGAGATACCAAACTTAACTGTAATTGAATTATAACCGTTGGTTTTATGATCTGACGTTTGACGTTTCTCGTTTATGAATGACAATTATGTCATTAATTTTCCTCCTATTATTTTTAATTTTTTATTTTCCTTCTTTGACTATTACGCTGCACCATTAAACCCCTTATCCCTCTTCCTCTAACTCTCCTCCATTGAAGCAGCTTCCGAGCTTTCTTTCCTCCATTGAAGCAGCTTCTGAGGTAATATATTTTGAATCATTGATTATAGGGTTTATCATTAATTATAGGGTTTATCATTAATTCAATTGTCATTATAATCAATTTAGGGTTCTTCTATTTTTGAATCATTGGACTATTTACTATAAATACTGAAGCTATGAAAACTTCTATCGAATTTGTTTCTGGAACTTTGCAATGTGAAATTTACATTGATATTCTTAAGCGAGAAGAATTCAATGTGATTTTTGGAGCCTAATTTGATAATGGAGTCAAATTGGTTGCTAATGTGTTGCAGGCTGTTGTTTATAATCCTTTTAATGTAGGAAGGAACTATGAAAATGGACCTTTTCTCCCTGGGCCCGGGGCGGCTGCCGCTCTTGCCTTGGCTCAGGGACGGACCTGATTGCTTGCTGTTGTTTAATATCAGAGGTAGCTCCGCTGTTAGAATTGCAAATAGATTTCCGTATTGTACACGAACAAGTGGCGTGCAGGATCTACCATCTTCGAAGCGAAGGTCTCGTGGA